CATCTCCACATTTAATGTTGTCTCAAAACATTTATCAATTTATAAGAAAATTTTATGTAACTAATGTTAGACATAAATATTTTTTTAATAGATACGCTATTACGTACTCAACTACATCATGGCACGTGCATTGCACGTGCTTCTAACTAGTGTGTGTGTATATATATATATATATATATATATATATATTGATTTGCTTGATTTTATTGTTTCAATTATGGTAAGATGATTTGGTATTGGGTCAGAGAACTATGTGAATGAATGAAATTTAATTAATTGCATGGTTAAATCACAATCTCTAATCAAGGAAAATTTATTTATTCAGCAAATGGTAAAATATTGATAATCTATTAATTTATCAACTAATTAGTAGTTTTTTAAATATTGTGCAATGTATTTAGTTGTTCGTTTTAGGAACTAAAAACTCTTTATTTATTTGTTTAATCGAGTAAAATTCATGACTGCATTTATTTTTCGAGAATTAGATGGTACAATATTATTACATTTTATAAACTTTTAGCTAAGCAAAAATTCTATTTAAATAACTGATTAATATAATTTAGTAAGTCATCATGATCAACCAAAAATGTTAATTAACCGAGATTATTAATTTATTGTTCCTTTTAGGGGGAGGAATTTTCTTGTCTTCTCTTATTTTTTGCCCTTTTCGGGAAGTAATTTACAATAGATGACATATTATTTTGGTCTCTCTCTCTCTCTCTTCTTCTTATCGTACACTAATTATCAATATAATTTTGAAGTGTCAAAGTTTTGGTGGCACAAATCTTTAAGAAAAACATAAATATATCCCGACAGATTATTAACGCCTCAAGATCATATGGGTTTTGCTAGAGTGACGGGTCACTTCAAGGGACGCACGTGGCACCCCTTATTGGCTGAACGTCTATCTTAAAGAATATAAATATATCTCGACAGATTATTAACACTTCAAAATTATATAGGTTTTGCTAAAGTGGCATGCCACATGGGCCGCCCAGACGATAGGGGGCGCATTCGTCCGGGGCCCAAGTGGCTCTAGACGAATAGCAAAATCTAAATTATATTGACGTATCAAAATTTGAATGGTGAAAAAGA